TAACTCAGCACCTTCCTTCTACCTCAGGGCCTTGTGTACTTCTCTTCATACCTCAACCCTGAGAAGGCTTCACTGCCCTTGCTCCTCACTAGTGAGCCCACCATTATCTGTATGCTCTCAGTCCTTGCTCTTCCCTCTCGGAGCACTGAGCACGCTGTGTAACCAGATATTTCTTTGCGTGGCTATTCAATTAGTCTGTGTCCCCACTGATCATGAGTTTCAGGAGGTCAGTTCTTGTCCCCCGATTCACTACTCTTTTCCCAGTGCCTGGTGCCATGATTGACACATAGTAGGCCCTCAGGTATGTGTCTCTCCTCTCTAAAGAAGAATAGCACTATCTGCTACCAATGTTGTTCTGAAGAGTAAATGGAACAAAGCTCTCCAAAATGTGGGCCCCAAGTCAGGCCACTCTGGTCCAGCCCTGGACCATTCTCTAAAGACCTGGGTATTTTTTCAGCAGGCCTGGAGCAGAGGGAAGGAAAGAGGGTCCTTGTGGGTTGGCAGAGGTCTCCCTTGCAGTAGAACTCACAATGGGAGCCTTGTGTGGGAGTGGTGGCAGGAGGCCTCGTGGGACAGCTGGGCCCGGGGCTGCCAGGCCTGGGTTGAGCTGGGCTGGGCACTCAGCCACAGGCAGCCCTCTGAGGGCCCTTTCATCTGAGTCCCAGCTGCCACTTGGCTTGCTGGCCCAAAGCCCAGCTGCCTGGAGAGGAGAGGGGCTCTTGGTTTTGTCTTAGGAAGAAGAACAAAGAGTGGGGTGAGTGGGAGGAGGGCAGAGGAAAGCAGTGCTTGCCCTTGGAATCAGGCCAAAGGGAAACAAGATCCAGTCATAGGCAACACCAAAGAGCTGTCTGATTCTTTTGTTGCCAGAGCATCAAGCAAGACAGGATTGCAGAGAGCATCTCAGACAATATCCCAATCCCCACCAGGGTATGAGTGGGGAACTGAGGCCCAGAGAGGGGAAGAGACTTGCCAAAGGTGAGACACGAATGGCAGAACCAGAACTAGAACCCTGGTCTCTCCTTTCCCGGTGCTGAAGGGGGTCCTCATACATAAAGTGGAGGTGCTAATTCTTATTTTGAATGGCGGGGGTCAAATAATTGTCCTCATGGTTATCAAAGGAAGAGGAGGATCATTTGAGTTGGTCCTTGAAAGCTATGTAGGAGTTTTCCAGAGAGAATGAGCTGGTGGGGAAAGGCATTCTGGTTGAAGGAACAGCATAAGCAAAGGCAGAAAGGCATGGGAGTGCAGGTCGTGTTTCAGGGCAGCCGGGGCTGGAGGAGAAACAGAAAATAGCACTACAAGCCCAGGCTGCCTGGTACAGTCAGAAGTGCCCACTGTCCCTCCGAGTGTCTGGCCCTCCTCGCTTCAGAACTCAGCCTCCCTGTGGAATCATCCTGACCCATGCAGCCGATCAGCCCCCTGGGAAGAGTGGGACTGTAAGTAAGGGGAAGTGGACAGGTGGGCTGTGCGGAGCCTGTGGGAGGCTCCCCAACCCAGACACAGTTGGCAGCGAAGCCTGCCTTGAGGACATCACAGCTGCCTCCCCATCACTTGGTCCCATTTGCAGAGTCATAATGTTCAAGGTACATACTTTGCCCAGCGTTTTTGTCCCTTTGGGCTGCTGTAACAAAAATCCCATAAGCTGGATGGTGTCTAAACAACAAATATTTCTTTTTCACAAATCTGGAAGCTGGAAGTCCAAGATGATGACGCTGGTAAATTTGGTGTCTGGTGAGAGCCCACTTCTTGGTTCATAGATGGCCATCTTCTTCCTGTGCCTTCATATGGTGGAAGGAAGGAGCTAGGGAACTCTCTGGGGTCTCTTTTATGAGGGCACTAATCATATTCACGAGGGCTGCACCCTCATGACCTCCCAAAGGCCCCACCTTCTAATACTATCACATTGGGCGTTAGGTTTCAAAATATGAATTTCAGAGGGACACAAATGTTCAGACCATAGCACCCAGATACAAAGCAATTATTCATAGCCACAGAATGAGAATTTTGGAGTGAAAAAGAGATGGAGTCTGAGCTTGGTTCTGCCAGTTTCCAGCTGTCTGGCCTTTAAGCCATTCACTTAACTTCTTTGCGCCTCAGTTTCCTCATTTGTCAATTAAATCTTTTTGGAAGGATTAATAGAAGGATCTGTGCTCAGCACATAATTATTTCCTTCCCATTTTCCTCTTTCACTTGGCACAGCTGACCCCTGTGCTGGGAAGAATCCCCTACAAGCCTCTCTCAACGAACCTCTCCCTCCTTCAATACCCAGCTTACCACCTCTTCCATGCCACCTCTTCCATGAAGCCTTCCCAGATTCCCCAAACTAAAATGCTGACTTCCTCCAGGAATAGCTTGTGCTTGTCTTATGGTGCTGCCTTTTCTTTTCCTCTTTTATAGTTTTTCATGTTCACTGAAACTAGAGACATAATACAAAGATATATTATGAAAAAAAATAAATAACTGTCCCTCTCCATTTCAACACTGACCCTACTCAATAACCAGTGGTATCACCCAGTGTGTATCATTCTACACCTTTCTGATTATTTGTTCACATAAATATATCGAAATTTATAGAAGAGGTTATGTTTGTGTTTTTACACAAATGGATTCCCACTGTATACAGACATTTATTTATTTATTTATTGTTACATAAATTTACCCCTTTATTATAGGCTAGCAATGTTTCAAATTGTGGAGCTTCTACTGGTCTTTCAATTACTTCAGTCTTCTGATGGCTGACTTTGTTGTGACGGCAGAAGTGGTGCTGTACGTCCAGGCACCACCGGCTACTGTTTTCATGCAGGAACCACAGCGCCGGATCCCACAGTTCATCTCTTCATCTTAGTTTTGCCACTGAAGGAGCAAGTGTACTTGGCATGCTGGCTGACTCAATTTTCTTCACCGTTTTCCCGAGGGAGGCACCATAATGGGTCCCATGTCACCGCAAACTAGGTCAGAGTTCAGAGAGCTCCAATATTTATTCATTTATTTAAAAATGTTTAAAAAATATATTCTATGGATTTTTACAGAAAGGAAGGGAAAGGGATAGAGAGTCAGAAACATCGATGAGAGAGAAACATCGATCAGCTGCCTCCTGCACACCCCCTACTGGGGATTGAGCCTGCAACCAAGGTACATGCCCTTGACTGGCATCAAACCCGGGACCCTTCAGTCCATGGGCCGATGCTCTATTCATTGAGCCAAACTGGTTAGGCCCAGTATTTATTTTTAATTGCTTAATAAATCATGGTTGAATGAATAAATATAGGATATACTTCATTCTTTTAAATAGTTGCATAGTATTCCAAGGCACAAACAAATCCTGGTTCATTCAACCGTACCCCTTTGTTGCCAATTCTGCCACCACAAACAAAACAGTAATAAACATATGTGTTCATATATCCTTTGAGGGTAGTGCTTTTATTTCTATTAGATTCTGAAAAATAAAAATATTGGGTCAAATGATGTCTGTGGTGGGTTTTATTTTAGTAGACATTGCCATATTACTTTCCAAAAAAAAAAAAAATCACAGCAGTTCACATTCCACTCAACTAAGTTTGAGGAGCTGTTTTCCTGCATCCTTACCACATCGGGCATATTATTAGCAATATTTGCCAAAATTATAAAAAATAGTACAACATTGCTCCCTTGATTGCATGTTCTCAACTCCTACTAAGTTTCAGTAACTTTTCATTTCAGTTATTTTATTTTTCATTTCTAGAATTTCTATCTGGCTTTTTTTCAAGTCTGCCTGGTGATTTTTAATCATATCTTCTTGCTCATGTTTTAAATACACACCTGTGTTGATTTAAGCACATTAAACACATATTCTATATCCAGTAATCTCAGTATCTGAGGTGGTGTGGATCTGTTGACTCTTGCTCATGGTACTTTGTGTCCTTTTGTGGTTTGTGACTTTAGATTGTGAGCTTGAGTTTGTTGGACTCGTGTGGAGTCTCTGCCCTTGCCTACAGGAAGGGTTTTTATTTTCTTTGTCAGGCATCTGAGGGCACTACCAACCCAGGTCCATTTTAAATGTAAAAATTTTTTTAAAAAATATACTTTTATTGATTTCAGAGAGAAAGGGAGAGCGAGAGAGACAGAAACATCAAAGAGGAAAGAGAATCCCTAATGGGCTGCCTCTCACCCACTCCCCGCAATGGGGACCAAGCCCACAACCCAGGCATGCGCCCCAGACCGTAATCTTACTCGGGGTCTCTCAGTCTGTAGGCCGACGCTCTATCCACTGAGCCAAACCAGCCAGGGCTTGTTGCTGGTTTTGACCATGAAAAAAAGTGGATATTTTGCCCCCAGACCTATTTGAACTTAGCCTATAGCCAGACATTTTCAGGGAAGATTGTTTCCCGCCCAGAATGAGACAGGTAAGTGCCCACAGCTTTCGCCTTTGAGTGCACACTTTTATAGAGGAAAGGGGGCAGTGAGGAAGGTGTTACAAGGAGTCCATTGGAGGGAACTGGGAGTTCAAAACGTAGTGGCTTTTCATTGGCTAAGTTGTGACAGACTCTCATTGGCCGAGCTATTGCCAGGCAAGGAGAAAACCTCCCTTCCTCTTACTGGGCTAATAAACTAGAAAACATCTTCCAGCTGGAGACGCAAGGTATCCATTTCTCCCCGTTTGGGAGTAATTGGTCACGAGTAGTAAAGCGTGAGAGCTCCCCCTACAGGCGGTAGGGACTCCATTTTAGTTGCGGTTTCCTTTAGTAGTTGTCACCGTTTTAACAAGCAAAATAATCCACTCAACAGGTATCTTAGTTCTTTCCTTCCAAGGTCATGCTTTGTACTTTTAGCAGCTGATCTCAGGTGGATACATAGTCCACACTGGCCACCCTATCTCCTGGGAGCCTCACGCTTCCCATCTGTAAAATGGGTGTTGGTGGTCCTTCACCCCCTAGAACTGTAGTGAGTAGAAGGTCTCTTGCTTTCAATGTCAGTTCCCTCTGCCTCCCCCATTTGGCTGTCGGGTAACACCTCGGTGAGAGACCGGGCAATGACAAACCTAAGGTCTCACCGCAAGCCAGGCCCCAATCCAGGCCAACCCGGGGTTTTAACCACACCCTGGGGCCAGCCTCCCCCACCCCAGGGCGGGGAGCGGGTGCATTTCCGCCAGCTACAGGTACCTCGCAGGGGGCGGGCTGGGCCGGTTGCAGGAGCGGCGGCCGGGCTGCGCATTGCCAGCTGCTTGCAAAGCCGGGATAATGAGCCTGAACTCGACGTCCCGCTCCCTGCTGGCCCCCTGCGTGCCTCTCGGGGACCAGCCAAACGTGAGTGCTCAGCCTGAGGTGTGCCTGTCCCTTCTTTCACTCCTTCTGGGGTCCGCGCCCAGACCCCCGCTCCGTCTGCGCTCCCCAGGCTCCCGGAGCGCCATCTCCACCTCTGGCTGGGTGCGCTCTTCTCCTGACTGTTCCTCCCGCTTTTCTCTCCCCGCCTCTCCCCCCACACCGCGGTCTCCATCCCATTCTGGCTCAGTCCAGGCTCTCCTCTTTGCCCTCTTTCCCGCTTGGCTGCCTTGCTTTGTCTCCTTCTCTTCTCTTTGTTTTACCTGCTTTTTGTGTGTCTCTCTGTCCCCTGGCTTGTCCTAGTCCACCGCTCTTGGCTGTCTCCTCCTTTCCCCTGCTCCCATCCCTCCTGCTGGTAGGAGAAGCAGACCCAATCTCAGGCTGACAGTGTTTCATTCCCTCACCACCACCGCCCCCCCCCCCCCCCCCCCCCGCCAGACCTCCACCCTCTCCTGCCCTCTGGCTGGGTCGTTAGTCCATCTGCCCACTCCCAGAGCGTGGGTAAGGAGAGTTTGGGGGAGGATCTGGAAAAGGCCCAGGCACTCTAGGAGCAGAGCATTCCAATCTCTCCTGGGCGAGGTGCCATCTGAAGGTTTATGGGAAGGGAAAGCAGATCCAGGGGTGGGGAGACTGGCTCTTTCCCATCTGGTGATGTTAACGTCATTGTTGTTGGCTGTTGACAAAGTCACCTGCTCAGTGGCAGGGCTGCCCTAGGTGCTCAGGAAATGTCTGAATGAATTACCGGACAGGAGATGGAGCCAGCATGTGCATGATGCCAGGTAGGGCAAAACTGGCCTTTATCAGAATACCAGCTGCTCCTATAGATCTGTGCCTCAGAAGCTCCCTTCAATTCAACAGACATTTATAGAGCATCCCGGTATGAGGAGCACTGGAGTAGGTACTGGTGCCATAAAGATGAATCAGGGATTGTCTTCCATTAGGAACCTCACAGTCTAATGCGGGTACAGATGATAAAGGGAATTACAAGATAGGTAATTACCAGACTGCGGAAGTACAGGGCCCTCTGGGATCACAAGAAGACAACCCGTCTAGAAAGATTCCTGGAGGAATTAACTTGAAGGATGAATGGACTGAGTGAAGGGAGTGTGGGGAATGAGTGAATCCTGCTGGCAAGGGGGCCCTGCTTGCTCTGGTCGGGCGGGGGTGGGGAAGTAGCAAGCAGTTCCCGTGGCCTATTGCCAGCCCTGCAAAGGGCCTAGTAGACCTTGTTAAGGAGTCTAGAGTTTATCAGGAAGGGAATGTAGGGTCGCTGAAATGTTTAATGCAGGAGGAGACAGATCAGATTTGCACTTAAGAAAAACTGCTGTTTTCAGAGTAGAGACTGGGTTGGGGGAGGTCATTTGAGGGGGTCAGGGTGCCATGGAACTGACCAAACATTTAGAATCACCAGGATTTGGTCACTGATTATTTGTGTGTTTGGGGGGGGGGGGGGTTTGAGATTAGAAGCAGAGTGTAAGATTACTGCCGGAGTTTTGGGCTCAGACAACTGAGATAGGAAACAATAGAAAAGGTCAGGGTTGTGGGTTGGGGAGAGATCTTGAGGGGTTTGGGGTACATGAGAATGGAGATGTCCCTCCACTGGCTCCAATAAGGGTGACCTAAGAAAATGTATGATGTTTGGTGGTGGGGGGGGGGGGTTGCAGATGTGTAACCAGGACCCTTTTGACTGGAACTGAGTGAGAGCTGGGCATGTTCCATTCATCCCTGTGTCCCCATGGCCAGTACTGGCCTGTTGGGGTCCAACCCCAGCAGGTCCAGGGGTCCCCAAAGGTGTGGACGGAGTCGGCGAAGAAGGAATGACACGGAGACAGCCTTCAGTTGATCAGCAGCCTAGTCAGGACCTCTAGCCAGGATCTCCAGCCAAAGTTCTGGTCGGGATCTCCAGGCAAGTTCTGGTTAGGATCTGATCAGGATCTGATGTTTATTGTCTTGTTATATCTGTATTTATACCAGTCGATTTTAATCCTGTCAATTTCTATGGCAAAGGTTAGGGCGTTTCTTATCTCCATTCCAGGGAGTAAAGATTATGTAGCTTAAGCGTGATTGTTTGTAGTTACAGTGATTAACTACCCGCCTGGCACTTAGTTAAGGGGTTGTATCCCCTCCCTAACCTCAGGGAAAAATCCCCACCTGGGGAAACAACCTTTCTCGGAGAGGTGACCTTGGTTAAAACACATGGCGCTAAGGAGAGCAAACATATTAAGAACAATATGCTATATATGCCAGGTCCCTTGAAACATATGCTGTGCAGATGTTTCTTTCCTGCAGCGACTGTGTCAAGCAGCAAGGATGGACCGGCTTCCGGCACTGGCCTAGCCCCCAGCAGGGGCTCCTAAAGACCACGTGACCCCTGCCCATGCACACGGGGTCTGGGACAGGCTTTCCCACTCAGGAATGCTTTGGCAGGGTGACTTTTAGAAAAGGTGGGGGAAGAGGTGCCACAAGGAAGGGCAGATGGCCCAGAAGAAGGGTGGAAAAGCAGTCCTTATCTGCTGGATACACATACTGTAGTGCTTATGGATGAGGTTGGAGGTCTGGGATTTCCAAAGAGCCTGGAAGTGTTCGTTAAAAAGAAGGGGAAGAGGGACAGAATTAAGAAGCTTGGGAACAGGGCCAAGGTCTTCTTTGATAAAGAAATGGGGGCTGAGGGTGTCAGGACAGGAAGCTAGCTATTTTGTGAAGCATCTGGAAATGAGCTTCAGAAATGACATTTGAAGTGAGTGGATTCATTAGACTCAGAGCTGGAGAGACTTAGAGTTCACTTCATTCGTTTTGCCGCTCTATTTCATAGACAACAAGTTCAGGCCCTGAGAAGGAAGTGAGCTGCCCCAGGCACATAGCTAATTGTTGGCAGCAGTGGAACTGGGTGTTGGGAGGGGTCGAGATAGGGCATCCATGTATACTGTAGTCAGACTGACGTGGATTAGTCCAGCTCCAACGTCATCACTTCCTAGCTGTGTCACCCTTCTTCGCTCGCCTGTAATGTGGGGACATTAAGAGCACCAGTGAGCTTTCAGGGGTGCAGGAGTGATGAGAGCACATCGATCCATTCAAGGGTTAAAGTCTGCAACTTTGTATTTAACTATCAGCTGCCCATCGGGACCTCAGGGTTCACCAAAGAACCTTGCCAAGGGACCGTGAGGTGTGTGGGAGAAAGGGAGCCACAGAGGGCACCCTCTCCTTTCCCTTCTCCCCTCCTACCAGCAGACTGTCCCCTGGTAGGAGCTGTTGTCATGGCAACTCAAATATCCCCCAGCAGTTTGGCTGTCTTAATCCCAGTATTTTAATCTTAGAGCTAAAGCTCACAGACAAGTTGAGAATGAGGCCACACCTAAATCAGATGGAAGGACATTCCTGAGCTCTGGTCCTGTAATGACCAGTGGTTAGCATTCTCAGGTTCGTAACTCAGCCTTCAAACACTGCACAGATCTTCTCTGCAGCAGCAGCCATCACCCCCCTTAGGCAGCTTTCCCTGACAACCTCCAACACACATCCACAAAAAAGCCGACTCTGCCTACCTCTGAGTCTTCTTTCCTGCACATCTAAGTCATCTGTTTCCCTCTCTCCCCTGTGAGCTCCTTGAGGGCAGGGACTATGCGGTATTCATCTGCTTAGGAGGAGGCTTGAATGGAATAGGTCATCTCTACATTTTAAAAAAAATAAACGGGTCATTAAGGAAAAGAAGGCTGGAGGCGTTTGAGAACTAATTTATACAATAACTAAGGCACAAGCTTCAGAGTAAATCGTAAATCGGACCTGAGTTCAAATGCTGCATCATCACTTAATATATGGTTGGTCTTAAGCAACTTACTTCATCTCCTTAAGCCTTAGTTTCTTTACCTGTAAAATGGGGATTTAATACAGTCTTCATAGGATAGCTATGAGAATTGAGTTAGAGCAGGGGTCCTCAAACTACGGCCCGCGGGCCACATGCAAATACAAATATTGTATTTGTTCCCACTTTGTTTTGCCCCAGGTATCTGGCACAAAGTAGGCACATACATATTTTATTGAATGAGTGAGTGATTTTATTTTTTTATTTTTTGAGTGAATTTTAGGTAACAAAAGTTATTCCAGAAGCTAGTTTGTGAGGATAACAACTGATGCATCACCTCACATATAATAATTCTATACAGTCTTCTGCTAGGCCTGTGTAGCAGCACTTAGTATTCCCCGAATGCAGCCTGCCAGTCTGTTTCCACGTCTCTCTCTGCATTGGGCTGTGGGCATCTAGGCAGGCACTGTGTGGGTCTCGCCTACCTCTGTAGTGCTCAGCCCAAGGTCTTACATAGAGAAGAGGCCTCTACATGTTCTGTTGAACAGGTAAACCTAACTTAAATTTGTACCAACCTTGCAGCTTTATACTCATTGTATCTGGTGTTACTGGCCTTTTCACCACCCAGGATATTTCTGTTATTTAATCCCCATGGGCCCATATTTTGAAAAACCAAAACAAAACAAAACAAAAAAACCATCATCAAACAAATTCTGTTTGTTAATCAAAGTCATGCCAACTGCTAATCAGAACTTCTGATCTATATGAAATAAGAATTTTTATCCCCAACTCCCAGCACAGGATGTGGGCACACAGTACTCAAGAAATGCTTCCTGAATGAATGCATGTATGGTTTCTTAGCCTTTCTGAAAAGTTAAAAATGGTTTGTGCCCCCCGGCCCCCCCCCCCTTTAAAATATATATATATCTTAGACCTACGCATCCCACATCGGGAACTCCTGACTTCACAACAGCTCCACATCCCCATTTTATAAATGAGGACACTAAGAACCAAGGAGGGAAAAAGCCTTGCCAAAGACCACAGGCTTTGGAAGTAGTGTGGCTGGGACTTGTTCCCACTGCAGCCTCCTATGCTAACATTCTGTGACCCAAATGAGAAAGTTAAAACGCTTGCATGGATAGTCTTATATCGAACTGCAATCTTTGTCTTCTTTAAAATGCCCATTCAGTGGAGCTTTACAGCATAAGTATAACCCCCTTCTGTTCAGATGTGCCTTCCCATAGCTGAAGCCAAGCATGGCTTTCCTAAATTCTCTCTACGGGGTTATTCTTTGTATGAAAATACAGTCGTGAGCTTCCTAGAGGTGGCGCTAATGATTCTCTGCCTCTTGTACCCCCAGGCATCTGCCGTGGTGAAGCTGAACGTGGGGGGCGAGCTCTTCACCACTACTGTGGGCACCCTGAGAAAAATTCCGGGTTCAAAGCTGGCAGGTATGTTCTGCACCTTAGCCAAGGCCTCCCCCAGTAAGGATGAGGAGGGCCGATTCTTCATCGATCGCCCCGGCACCTATTTCGGAGCCATCCTGGACTACCTGCGCAGCGGGCAGATGCCCAAGCAGCACATCCCCGAGGTGTACCGTGAGGCTCAGTTCTTCGAAATCACGCCTTTAGTCAAGCTGCTGGAGGACACGCCGCAGATCTTTGGTGAGCAGGTGGCTCGGAAGCAGTTCTTGTTGCGGGTGCCAAGTTACAGCGAGAACCTGGAGCTCATGGTGCGCCTGGCGCGTGCCGAGGCCATGGCCGCGCGTCACTCCAACGTGCTGGTGTGTGTGGTGCACACGGAAGGGGATGCGGCACACTGCGAGGAATCCCTGCGAGTCCTGGAGGCGACCAAGAGGTTGGTCGTCAAATTCGGGCCTTGGAAGGCGTCTCCGGTCATCAGGGACCTCTTGGACTCCGTGAAGATGGACATTGAGGCTCAGGGGTACCAGGTAGCCTATGACTACTGCTCCAAGAAGACATTTCAGCCTAAGGCAAATGCCCACGAATACTTCTATACGTTCCGATTCACCTGGTGGTGATTCTCAGGGGGCGGGGCTGTTTATTATGGGCTCTGGTGGGGCTTATGAAATTAAAAGTTGCCTTCAAAGATCATCTTTAATTTCAAAAATAAACAACTTCCAAGGTGGTCTGCAAAGCTTACTCCCAAATATTTATGTCCCCCCGTGAAGACATTCCACTCATTGCAACTGACTCCACTGTACTTGCCTAGTGAAGTGCAGCTGCTCTCTCTTTAAAGCCTCACATACCTGCCAGACCCTTCCCTTGAAGTCGGATAGCAAGGCTGAGTTGGAATGTTTCAAAAATGTTTTGGCTGGAGATGCGGGGTATCAACAGGAATATAACAGGATATGAATCTAGATCAGTGGTTCTCAACCTTGGCTGCACATTAGAATCCCCTGGGAATCTTTTTAAAATCCTGATTTCCGGGCCTCATCCTCCAGAAATTCTGTTTCTTTGTTATGGGGTGGGGCCACAACATCTAGATAGTCTGACCTAAACACATGATTTACCCAGCTTCAGCCTGCGGGCCAATCCTCTGGCCCAGGTGTGTGCCTTCATGATGAGGAAGATGCCAAGTTAGTACCTGTAGTAGATGCCACTCAGCTCTTCTTTCCTAGATGCTGTATTGGTTGCTAAAGCCTCACAGCTGTCCTGTCTCTAGAACAGTGGTTCTCAAAGTGTGGTCCCTGCAGCATCAGCAACCTTTGGAACTTTTTAGAAATACAAATTCTCTGTCCTCCACTTCAGCCTACTGAATCAGAACCTCAGGGTTGGCCCAGCAGTCTGCTTTACCAAGTCCTCCAGGTGGTTCTGATACATTCTAATTATTGAGACCTGCTCTAGAAGAGAATTGCCCTTATTTGTGAGGTTCTCCCTTACCTCAAGGAGGAACCAACTCCGGTACAGTTCCTGTTCCAGAGCTCCTTGTGGAATCCAACTGAAGTCAATCTTCATCTAATACCACATTTTTGCTTAGCATTTTTCCTCTGCTCTATCCTGCTTCCCTCACTGCCCTTCCTGAGAGCACATCAGCAATAAACCACTTACACAAAGACTCTGTTTCAGGTTCTGCTTGTCAACGTAAAACATAACTCTAAGGAGGACACATGTAGATATTCATCCTTCTCCAAGACCAGGTCACCCTGCTTAGAAGGGTGACCAGCCATCCTGGATTCCTCAGGACTGAAGGTCAACTGTAAAGGTTTAAGAAATTAATACTGAGTCAGGGAGTTTCAAATTTAAACATAAAATTGCTTAGAACAAAGTCATTGCCCAGCCAGCATGGCTCTGTGGTTGAGCATCGACCTATGAACCAGGTCACTGTTCGATTCCCGGTTAGGGCATATGCCTGGGTTTCCGGCTTGATCCTCAGTATTCGGTGTGCAGGAGGCAGCTGAGTGATGATTCTCTCTAATCATTGATGTTTCTATTTCTCTCTCCATCTCCTTTCCTCTCTGAAATCAATAAAAAAAATTTTTTAAAAAAGCATAGTCATTTTCTTTTTAAAAAAAATGTTTTATTGATTTTTTACAGAGAGGAAGGGAGAGGGATAGAGAGTTAGAAACATCAATCAGCTGCCTCCTGCACACTCTCTACTGGGGATGTGCCCGCAACCAAGGTAATGCCCTTGACCGGAATCGAACCTGGGACCCTTGAGTCTGCAGGGCGACGCTCTATCCACTGAGCCAAACCAGTTAGGGCAAAAAAAAGAACATAGTCATTTTCAATAAGCATTACAATTTAGTAACTGTGTCTGCTTGTATATTTTTTCTTATTTTCAAAACTTGTTTAATGTTTTCCCTTTTTTTTTTGGTATTTAATATAGCTGACAATTTAAAGCGGAAAAATCCTGAATGTCTATTTGAACTTTTTATCATGAAGCAATTCAACATTCTTTATCAAGTGCCTGAAAAAGAGTTCTTACCCTTTGATCAGTAGTAATGAGATTAGATTCCAAAGAGACTCCCTGCTTCTTAAGATGTAAGTAGAATTGCTTGTACTCTCAAGTTCATGAATGTCCTCCCCAAGATTTCTGCACATTCCCAGAGGGTTTGTCTCCTTCTGGTCAGCTCTGGTTCTCTGCTCCTGCCAGATTCATTCAGCATAGGGATCTTCTAATCTAGATGCCTTAAACCTGTTGTTGCTGTTCTGCACAATGCTCACCCAGATTTAACACTCAGATCTTTTTTTTTCTTTTTAATTTTTTTTATTTATTGACTTGAGAAAGAAAAACATCAATTTGTTGTTCTACTTATTTATGCATTCATTGGTTAATTGTTGTATATGCCTTGACCAGGGATCAAACCCACACCTTGGCATACTAAGCTACCAGGCCAGGACTCAGTTATTTTTCCAAATTCCACTCCCATGAACTATTTGTGCACATAGCAGACTGTGAGAAATACAGACAAATAAAGGGGAGAGAGTTTACACCGCAAATGCAAGTAACTTCAAGCTGAATATTGGACATATCTATTCTTAAAAGTGTGTCAGTCACCCACATCTCTAGGGGCTTTTCAGTAGTAGCTTGTATTTGTTTTCTATTCTTCTCTCCCTGTTCTTTGTTGTTTTTTTTAATACTTTTTTTCATTGATTTCAGAGAGAGGAAGGGAAAGGGGGAGAGAGAATGACTGATTGGCTGCCTCCTGCACTGGGGATTGAGCCTGCAACCTGGGCATGTGCCCTAACTGGGAATCGAACCGTGACCTCCTGGTTCATAGGTCGATGCTCAACCACTAAGCCATGCTGGCCGGGCTTCCCTCCCTGTTCTTGATATGCTTCTCAGTAGATGGGAGTAATCTTCCCTGTCCTACTGACTTCCTGCTAGGCCTTACGACTTAATCTGGTTAATGGAGTATGTGTGGAAGTGAGTGTGCCATTTCCAAACAGGCTTTAGAGGCATGTCAAGTTTCCACCAGCCCTGCCAGAAGCAGCCCATGTTCGTTACTTTTTTTATTGCTTTGCCTTTAGCCTGCGTCCCTTAAGATCAGACTCTATTCCTAAGCAATACACCAAACTAGTTTATTAAACAAAGGCAATTCCAATATCTCCCTCCAACTTCCAAATCCATAATACAATTAACATGACATAACTATTTTTAAAAGTATGTTTTGATTGACTTTATAGAGACAGAGGAGGGAGGGAGAGAGATACATCGATGTGAGAGTGAAACATCCATCGACTGCCTCCTGCAGGGATCAAGCCCTGCAACCCGGGTATGTGCCCTGACCCAGAATCAAACCGGCAACTTTTTGGTGCACAGGATGACACCCAACAAGTTGAGTCACACCAGCCAGGGCTGCTAACATTTATTAAAGATACTGTTTTGCTAAGTGCTTTTCATTTAACTGAACATATTTGTAAATGCAGTGGTTTCTGTGACCTGGGATGCCATTCTTTCTGGAATACTTACCATAGGCATATCTTGTTTTATCATCATTCACTTTATTGTGTTTCTTACAAATTGAAAACCCTCCACCAGCAAAAACATTACTACTTGCCTGAAGACTCAGATGGCATTTTTAAAGCAATAAAGTATTTTTAAATTCAGACAGTAGCTTGTCTAAGACATAATGCTACTGCACACTTAGACTACAGTAAAGTATAAACATAACTTTTATATGCACTGGGAAACCAAAACTTCATGTGACGTGCTTTATTGCAATATTCGCTTTATTGTAGAGGCCTGGAACCAAATCTGCAATATCTCCAAGATATACCTGTATTTTAAAGCCAGATTTAAACTCCTTCCCGCTGTAAAACTTTCCCGAGACATCCTGAAGAAGTTAGGTCTGTTTGGACCACATTCCTTTGTTATCCATCACACTTTGAATGACCACTAATTATCAGCTGGGTGTCTCCCTTCCCAGTTAGACTGGAGGACCTTGAGGGTAAGTAAAGACCACCTTTTAATGGATTTTTGGGTCTTCTGTACCGACTACAGCCTGCTGTTTTTCTTTTCTTTTTCAATTACAATTCACATTCAATATTATTTTGTATTAGTTTTGGGCCTGTTGCTTTTTCTGAGCATCCCACACTAACTCTCTTGAAAGATGAAACAGTGAACAGCTGACGTTTCACGTTGGATGTAAAATTGGGCTTGGATTTATTAACACTGACACGTGAATTACATTGCACAGTCTGTAAACTTTTTGCACCATCTCATTCCGTGTCATTACATTTGTCAGGTGTTATCACCCCATTTGTAGTTGAGGCTACTTTTTATTAAGTAGCTCTAAGGCAGCGGTTCTCAACCTGTGGGTCGCGACCCCTTTGGGGGTTGAACGACCCTTTCACAGGGGTCACCTAAGACCATCGGAAAACACATATATAATTACATATTGTTTTTGTGATTAATCACTATGCTTTAATTATGTTCAATTTGTAACAATGAAAATACATCCTGCATATCAGATATTTACATTACGATTCATAACAGTAGCAAAATTACAGTTATGAAGTAGCAATGAAAATAATTTTATGGTTGGGGGGTCACCACAACATGAGGAACTGTATTAAAGGGTCGCGGCATTAGGAAGGTTGAGAACCACTGCCTTAAAGGATAGGTAGCTTTTGAACAACCGGTGTGAAGAAGCAGGAAAAAGCACCCCAGGCCAGGGGAGGGGTGCCACACACACTGTCCAAAGGGAGAGCTCGGGGAATACAGAAGCAGCAAACACTGTGAAGAGCAAATGATGGGAACGTCAGCGGGGCCTCTTTCCGTTATCTCGGAAGTCAAAATCGCTACGCAGCTCGGGGGTATGGCTTCCAGCTCTAACTCGCCCCGCCTTTGCCCTTTACCTAGCGCTTCCTTCCTCCCTTCGCTCAGCTCCGCCCCCGCCAACAAGCCCCCAAAAGCTCTCATTGGTTCGCCCATCTCCATAGGCTCCGCCCCCTCCGCGCTACGCTCTGGTTTCAGTCCCCGGCGCACCTGGCGTAGGCGGCCAATCCCGACGTACCGAGGCGGGGCAATCGAGCAACCGGAAGCAGCCTCTCTTTCCTGGGATCCCACTGCCTTGTGGGATAGTGGAGGGTTCCTCTGTCCCCGGCAGGTTTTCCGGATTCCGCCCCCCGCCTCCCTCGTCAACTACGGAAGCTGACAGGGTCCGCGGGCAGCGATGGCGGCACATCTTAAGAAGCGGGTGTACGAGGAGTTCACTAAGGTGGTTCAGGTAAGCTCCAGAAGGAAAGGTCCCCCGACCGGTCGTAGGTAGGAGGAAGGTCATCCACGCCCCAGGCACCTTTGCAGAACTGGCGCCACGAACTTGAGTTGAGCGCCGACTACTTTGATAGGCTCTTTGCGACTGCACTTTAGTGGGCGTGTTCGATTGCCGCTTCCGTTGTCACGATGATGAACTCATATGTGCAGTCTGGTACTTAAAAACATTAGCAGATGTGGACTTAGAAGCTTCTCAAGGGGTACCAGGGCAACAGAAGCAATTAGTGGTGGAGTCCCCCACCCCAACTCTGTTACAAAACACACACAGAAGCGCCCTGGGCGAATTGGCTGTATGCAAAGCTCTTGGGGGCTGGAAGAGAAGTCTATAGGAATCCTCAAGGCCCAGTCAGAGCCGGCGGGGGTCCCAGGCCTCAAAGGGCTGGGACTCTGCGCCGATGGGGCAGCTCACCCGGGAAGGAGGGCAGTACCTTCCTCCTCTGGACTTGTTCAAGGACTGCCGGCCCAGCCTCTGTACTGAAGCCGGGGATTCTCCACGTGTCTCCTCGCAGATGACGCTGAAGTAGAGGTTGATACCAAGTCATCCCCTGTGTCACGCTTCACAGGCTTTATGTGTAAGCTCATCACCGGCGGGGATCTCATTAAAATGTAGATTCTACTCAGTCAGTCCGGCGGGGGAAGTGAGGCAATAGTCTGTATTGCTGACAAACCCCCAGTGGATGCCGGTGATAAACAGCATCCTTGGAGCCACAGATCGCAGTGAGATCCCTCTACTTGTAGAGCAGCAAGACAGACCACCCCGCAGGAAACTGATCCTTAAACACTTCATTCATTCCCTCAAAAAGAGTCTATTGAGGGAACGAGTGGCTACTATGCATCAGCTATAGTAAAAGTTGTTGAGCTACCATGTCCGATGCACGTTAGGGTCCCTGTCCTTTAGGACCTCACAGGCTAGTGGGAGAGAGAACAGCATATATGGGATTTACACCACAGAGAGATCGTTGCACTGACAAATCAAGTCGTCTTCTTCTTCAGCTCCTTCTTTCCATAAAAACTCCCTAGCCCTTCATGACTTGACAGTATTCCTTCTTTCCTTTTTGTTTTGTGGACTCATCTTTGTAGCATATTCCCATTGGCTGGAGGCAAATTAGTTTGCTCCTTATTCTTGTTTTTTCTTAAAATAACTTTGAGATTTAGCCTTGATATCTTTTTCGCTCCATTTTATGTGAAATTAGTTTTCCTAAACTTTTAATTTGAGTCAAGATTAAGGAAAGCTTTTCTAACTTTACAGAGCTTCCTCTTCTGTGGCTTGCTGTCTAGAATTTTCTTGCTCTGTTTCCCTTGCCCACTTTTAAAAAAATTGTGGTAAAGTATACATAACATAAAATTTACCATTTTTACCAGTTTCGTGGTATCAAGTACATTCATATTGTGCAGTGTCACTTTCTTTCCAACATTCTGTTCTCATTTATCAAGACTGCTCACCTCTTCTCCAGCATGCCATGTGTTTCCAAACTTTTGTACCTATTATCTCTTTTACATGGAATGGTTATCATTCTTCCCTTTTTCTTCTCCACCCAGTGCACTTATATTTTTGCTCTAAAACCCACTTGAAACCTCAGCAAGAATGTAGTCTCTTTCTCCTCTGCTTCTATGGTACTCTGCTATGTTCACCCATTTGCACCTATCACTCAGTGCTACTATAATTACCAATGTGCATATCTTCCTACCAGTCCGAGCTCTTTGAGAGCAGAGATAATGTTTAGTTCATCTCTGTAGCTCTCTCCCTTCCTCTCTGTAAAAAATCAATAAAATATATTTAAAAAAAAAATATTAGATATTGGTTTGTCCTCCCTTTATATACTCTCTAGGGAAAAAATATTTCCCAACTTTTGACCTAACTGCAGCCCAGATAACACTGAAGACTGAATTTGTGTGTAATAGGATGGAAATGGATAAGTGGTTATTGAATCTAAATTCCTCTGACTTCAAAGCCCCTGATCTTTCTTCATGCCATGGTAGGCAGAACAAAATGTTAGTGGACCTACTTTACAGAGAAAGAAACGGAGACTTGGAAAAATTAAATGACCTGTCCAGAGTTATAGGAACTAGTGAAAAGCAAAATTAGGACTCATAGTCTGTCTCCAATCCAGTGCTCTTTTTCCAGTTTGTAACACTGCTTTGTCCTAAGGCTAGGTCTATTACCTGAGTACATTATTTGGTACTTGAGGGCCGGTGCATGACATTCGTGTACTGGGCAGGGAGAGGGGTCCCCTCAGCTCAGCCTGTGCCCTCTCGCAGTCTAGGACGCTTTGGGAGATGTCCGCCTGCCGGCTTAGGCCCGCTCCCCAGCAGGCGGACATCCCCTGAGGGGTCCTTAGCCCTGCCCGGAGGCGGGACAGGCTCCCGCCACCGCTGCTATGCTCACCAGCCGTGAGCCTGGCTTCTGGCTGAGCGGTGCTCCCCCTGTGGGAGTGCACTGACCACCAGGGGGCAGTTCCTGAATTGAGGGTCTGCCCACTGGTGGTCATTGCACATCATATCAACCGATTGTTCCTCCGTTCGGTCGATTTGCATATTAGCCTTTTATTATATAGGATAATGGAAAATTATTTCCATCAAATGAGGTGAAGTAAAATTGTAGATTTTGTGTTTTCAGTTAGGTTTTCATGTCTTAACTTTCTTACCTCTTTGCAGCAACAGGAGGAAATTACTACTAAGAAACTCCGACTAACAAAACCAAGTAAATCTGCAGCACTCCACATAGATCTATGTAAAGCTACCTCTCCGACAGATGCTTTGCAGTATCTACTTCAGTTTGCCAGGAAGCCTGTTGAGGCAGAAAGTGTGGAAGGAGTAGTCAGGATTCTCTTGGAACATTATTATAAGGTGAGATGCTCTTGTGGACTGATGGGAGATGCCGTATTTGGGTGTAACATACTGATTAAGAAAGCTCTCTCCTCTGAAATATATAACGTTAAAGCCTTTGAATACTTGGATCATTGACTCTGTTTTGAAATGTTAGTTTCTCATGTTCTGTTTTTGGTTAGCTGAAAGGAGAGCATCAAGGTAACAATAGCTTCTTTTGTTCCAGGAGAATGATCCATCTGTGAGACTGAAAATTGCTTCATTACTGGGGTTATTGTCAAAGACTGCAGGATTTTCTCCAGACTGTATTATGGATGATGCCATTAACATCCTGCAGAATGAAAGTAAGTTGCAATTTAAAAGCTGTACACTTAGAGCAGAAATCTTTAGTTCCTTTTGTATAGAATTTAAAACAGAATATTGTTGTGTTGGTATTAAAAAGGAATTTGAGGATGATTCAATAAAACTATGTACATATATTTACATTAGAGTTAAAATGTAGTTTTTGTCTCTTAATAGCTATCATTTATGGACCTGTACCTAGTGCCATATGCTTCAAGTATTTTGCATATGATAGAAGATAGATGTCATTGTCATTTTATACGTGGGAAAACTGAAGTTCAGAGAAGTTAACTAACTTTTTAAAGATTAAGTTGTATGGGACAGAGATGATGTTTAGGTGACTGTGCACATTAACTCAGAAACCATGAGGGGTGCTGTCCTGGTCATATGTGGTCTCTGAGTTCTCTCCCTATAAAAGTGACATCTCCTAGGTCTCACATATTGTTGTTACTTTTTCTGTTTGTTGCTTGTTGATGTCTAATAACATTATTTCTGTGTTTAGGTGAAATGGGAAAGTACTTCACCTTTTTAATGTTTTTTATTATTTTTCTGTGGGTTTTTTTTTTTAATGTACAAGATTATATTATAGAGTTAGTGCCTCAGTTACCTTACTATCTATAATAATAAAAGCGTAATATGCTAATTAGACCAGACAGCTGAACAACCTTCCGGATGTCATTCTGGACAAAGCTGTGGTGGCGGGGGCCAAGGCAGAGGCAGTTAGGGACAATCAGGCAGGCAGGTGAGCAGTTAGGGGCAACCGGGCAGGCAAGTGAGCAGTTAGGGGCGATCAGGCAGGCAGGCAGAATGGTTAGGGGAGATCAGGCAGGCAGGGGAGCAGTCAGGCAAGTGGTTAGGGGCAAGCAGTTAGGGGTGATCAGGCAGGCAGGCAGAGTGGTTAGGGGCGATCAGGCAGGCAGGGGAGTGGTTAGGGGCGATCAGGCAGGCAGGGGAACAGTTAGGGGCGATCAGGCAGGCAGGCAAGTGGTTAGGGTCGATCAGGTAGGCAGGCAGGCGAGCAGTTAGGAGCCAGCGGTCCTGATTGCAAGAGGGTGCAGACTGGACTGAGGGAACCCCCCCCCCCACCCCCCTGCATGAATTTTGTGCACTGGGCCTCTAGTTGAAAATTAAATAAAAAGAAAAGTTCTTTGGCTCTGGCTGATGTGGCTCAGTTGGTTGGAGCATTGTCTGATACACCAAAAGGTGGAGGGTTCAATTCCTAGTCAGGGCACATAACCCAGGTTTTGGGTTCAATCTCCGGTTGGGGCATGTGTGGGAGGCAACTGATAGATGTTTCTCTCTCTTTCTCTCTCTCTCTCCCCTCTCTAAAAATCAATTTAAAAAAATATTTTTTAAATATATCTTATGGCAGCCCCGGCTGGGTGGCTCAGTTGGTTGGAGTGTTGTCCTGCACAGCAAAAATGTTGCAGGTTCGATTCCCCATCAGGGCATATACCTAGGTTTCAGGTTCAATCCCTGGTCCAGTGTGTATGGGAGGCAACTGATTGATGTTTCTCTCTCTCTCTCTCTTTTTCTCTCTCTCTCTTTCTCTCTCTTCTTCTCTCTCAAATTAATGAACATATCCTTGGGTGAGGATTAAATATATATATACACAAAAAAAGAAAAGAAAAATCTTTTGGTATTTCTGGAAATATTGTAATTTGTTTGAATTAGTTGTGGTTTTAGAGAATACTTTTATTTTGGGTATACATATATAAACAAATGTGACTATTTAAATATTGGACAACATTTAGTCTATAAACTTAAAAGATTATGAGAGAAATAAAGGGCCAGTGAATTCAGAGACAATCTAAACTTATTTATTGTACAGCTGTTTAATGTTAACAAATATCTTACATATGTGGCTTATTGGCTGAAGTTGAGAACTTCTAAAAAATTTTGTTAGAAACACCTTTATACCAAAATTGTAATTGTATTGAATTTCTACCAAAGACTTTCTTTTTTAATCTTCACCTGAGGATATTTTTCCATTGATTTCCAGAGAAAGTAGGAGGGAGGAAGGAGGGGGGAGGGAGAGACATATAGATTGCCATGCACACGACCTGGGCTGGGGAACCTGCAACAGAGGTATGTGCCCTTGATCAGTGCCCTTGACTGGGAATTGAACATGAGACCCTCCAGTCCACAGGCCAACACTCTAACCACTGAACCAAACTGGCCAGAGCACCTGAGGACATGTTTTTATTGATTTGAGAGAGAGAGAGAGAGAGAGAGAGAGAGACATTGATGTGAGAGAAAGACTAGAAGTCTTACTAAGAGGTGATTTAACAGTATTTTCGGAGCTTTAGTCATTTATGTATCATGTACACCATTTCTTATATATTTGCTTCACATCTATACTATGGTTTACTTAGTGTTTTTCTTAAGTGGACAATTTTTTTAGTTAAATAAAATTAAAGGGGCTTATTATATTAGAAATGTTAAAATGAAAATAGTGACACGTGACATCAATAGATAGTAACTACAGTTTTTATTATGCACATTAAAATATCTACATGGTTATTTGAATGCCACCTAAATCCACTTGTATACTACGAGCATTAGAAGAACCATATGTTGGAACAAAGAAGAAAATCTGGCTAAGATGATTGGTATTGATTTATTTGGATTTGGATTTTTGCCCATTTATTAAACATTCATTGAACATTTAATAAGTTATGCTAGATTCTGATAATACAGAGGTGAATAAAATACTATCTTTGCTCTCAAGGTTCTTTTACTTTCCCAATTTAATCGGATGTAAAAATAAGTAAGCATAGTAAAGAGTTATAGCTGATGTAGAGGGTGCAGTGGAAGCATGGAGGAGAGAATGGTCCATTCTTAGGGAAGAGGAAAAGCTTCATACAGGAGGTGACACTTCAAGAATAGTAGGTACTCCCTCAGGAGTGGGGCTGAGAATGGAGTTGAGTGTGGACGAAGTCATTCTAGGTAAAGAAGTTGGCCTGAGCAAAGATAGGGGGACATGAATCTAATTGGAAAAAGACAGGGAGGGCTAGACATTGTAGGGTATGTATGTATATATGTATGCCCTGCTAAGGAATTTGGACTGTATCTTGATGGCAGTGAAAAGCCCTTGAATTAGTCAAGTACTAAACATTTTGGGGGCACTTTGGCCAACCTGTGGAGGATTCAAATATTTAGATATGGTACCTTTAGGAACTTAGCTTTAAGTTGAGGGGAATCAAAGATCAAATAGTAGAAATTTGCTGCCAAAAAAAAAATCTACATTCTTTACCCAAGTAAACTTAGTTTCTTTAGTGATCTCTTTTTGAAATTTTACAACACAACTTATCTTTCTTTCTAGAGTCTCATCAAGTCCTAGCTCAACTGTTGGACACTTTGCTTGCAATTGGCACTAAACTCTCAGAGAATCAAGCTATCCAGATGCGATTAGTTGATGTAGCCTGCAAGGTAAGAGTATAATGATTAGATATAGGGTTGCTTCTTTCTTGAACAGTTTTGCATTATCTGTTGGTATGAGCTATAAGAACTGCTTAGTTCTATAATGTAAATTTGTAACTGAGAATTGTCAAGGACTCCCAATGGTTTTAAGAGCTATCTCATGTTGTTTTTTTCTTGATGTTGGATTAGGAATTAAGTTGAATAACTTGTTAGAAAACGAACTTCCTCTTTTTCCCCAAAGAAAAGAAAATAATTATAGTAGCTATCATGTATACTGTGCCAAATAAAAGTGCTCTCCTTATTATGGTACCTTATATCCAGTTTTTCATTTTTCCCTCACAGTCCTTTAGGCAAAGTACTGTTACCCCTTTTATAAAGTTGGGGATTGAGGTGTAAGGAGTTTAACTTGTCCAAGTTTTCATACCTAAGAAGTTGCAGAACCAGGCTATGGATTCTGGTTTTGCTGGTTCCAAAGCCCATGTTCTTTTTATTGTGCCTTGTTGCCTCAGTGAACAGAACAATTAGACCCAAACAACTGTTGGGGAAAGGTTTTTCTTTTTTAAGTTTATTTTTTCTGATTATAAAGTAAATACATTAGTTTGTGCCTTTTGATTTAATTTAGAGCTTTTAATTAGCTGCCTTTTGTACATAACAGCAGCTCCTAAACTTGTAGAATTGGTTTTACTTTTAATCTTTGTGATAAATTGATTTTGAGGTTATAAGAAGACAAATATGTTCGAATTGTAGAAGAGTATTATATTCATAGAATTAGAACACTATTTCTGAGTCCCAGGAAAGAGTGTTTCAGCCCTAACCGGTTTGGCTCAGTGGATAGAGCGTCAGCCTGCGGACTCAAGGGTCCCAGGTTCGATTCCGGTCAAGGGCATGTACCTTGGTTGTGGGCACATCCCCAGTAGGGAGTGTGCAGGAGGCAGCTATCGATGTTTCTCTCTCATTGATGTTTTTGACACTCTATCCCTCTCCCTTCCTCTCTGTAAAAAATCAATAAAATATATTTTTTAAAAAAGAGTGCTTCAGTTTTCGTAATAAACAACAAACACAAAACACTTTGACAAGTATAATATTAAGAGCCTAAGTGGAAAAAACTAGGGATTGTATGTTTGAGAGTAAGTATATCTCCACATATGTATATATTTATATATTTATTTAGTTAGTTGTATTTATGAGGTCATGCTTGTGAGAAAAGTGTTGTACTAAGTGTATTGTTACACTTGAAGTGGAAATTTCTTAAATTTGAGTTTAATAAACTTTATATTATAAAAATTTATATTCATAGAAACTTTGGAAAGATAATGAAAAGTATGAAGAAAAAACTATACTCATAATTCACTACCCAAAGGTGACCATTATTAGTCTTTTGATGTATTGCTTTCTGATATTCTCCTGCATGCAAATAGTTTGCTATTTTTTTAAACTTTAATTTTTAATTATTTAATTGCACGTGTGTGTTTTATTTTTTAATGTTTTTATTGATTTTTAGAGAGAGATGAAGGGAGAGGGATAGAGAGATAGAAACATTGATGAGAGAGAAACATCATTGGTCTCATTGATCAGCTGCCTCCTGCACGCCCTCTCCTGGGGATCTGAGCCCAAAACCCCAGCATGTGTCCTTGACAGGACTTGATCCCGGGACCTTTCAGTCTGCAGGCCGAAGCTGAGCCAAACTGTTTGCTATTTTTTTAAACACATAGCTGTAATCATATATTGCTTTTGCTCTTTCACTAACATTAAAGCAGAAGTATTTTCCTTATATTGTAAATGTTTTTAATGGATACATGATATTTTGTTAAATAATTAAACTACACTTTACCTAACTTTCTCCTATTATTGGAAGTTTATATTGTAACCATTTTTAAAATTATAAATAATACTGAAATAAATATTATTAGTCTAAAATATTTTCTGTATTTAGAGTTGTTTCCTAAACATAAATGGTTCATAAATAGAATTACTAGTTAAAAGCATTTAGAGTTTGTTAGAATATCATCTCGATACTCCAAGTTTGCAGGTTTGATTCCTGGTCAAGGCACATACAAGAAACAATCAATGAATGCATGGTTGGGTGGAGCCTAATTTCACTGTATTATTCTAGCATTGGATATTAATATTTAAAAACTAGATGTAAACTTGTTGATTTGTTTGGAGGAAAATGGTGTTTTATTTTTTTAATTTTCTTTTAAAAATATTATTAGTGAGGCTTCATACTTGTTTTCCATTTGTATTTCCTTTCTTGAGAGAACTTTTCATGTTTCTTGCCAGTTTCTCATATGTGCTCTTTGTGTTGTAGAAGCTCATGGTAGGGTAAAAAAAAATCTGGAAATAGCAGATCTGACATAAGCTTTTGCAGACTCAACTAAATTAAGACTATCTGCCCAACCTGTGTGGCTCAGTGGTTGAGTGTGGACTCATGAACAAGGAGGTCATGGTTCGATTCCTGGTTAGGGTACATGCCCAGGTTTCAGGCTCGATTCCTGGTAGGGGGTGTGCAGGAGGCAGCTGATCATTGATGTTTCTATCTCTCTCTTCCTCTCTCTGAAATCAGTAAAAAACATATCTTTAAAAAAGATTTAAAAATAAAGACTGTCTAAAGATTCATAGCCACAGTTACTATTTCTAATGCCATTTTGACAGTGATTTTTGTGTGCCTTGTGATATTATTCGTATATAATAACATGCACTCTTTTGATAGTAATAATACAAAGTATGTTCTCTAACCATAATGGAATGAAATTAGAAATCAGTAACAGAAATTTGGGAAACTCACAAATATGTGGAAATTGAAACAACATACTCCTATATAACCAATGGGTCAAAGAATAAATAAAAAAGGAAATTAAAAAATATTTCTAAATGTATGAAGATAAGACATGACATACCAGTACTTATCAATGTAGCTAAGGCATATTTAGAGGGAAATTTATAGCTATAAGTGCCTATACTGAAAAAAAAAGAGAGATCTCAAATCAGTAATCTAAAGTTCCACCTTAAAGACACTGGAAAAAGAAGAGCTCACTATATCTAAAGCATGCAGGAGATAGGAACTAAGAAAGTTTAGAGCAGAAATTAATGAAATAGAGAATAGGGAAACAATAAATAAATAAATGAAACAAAAAGCTTGTTCTTTGAAAAGATCAACAAAATTGACAAACCTTTAGCTATATTGACCAGGCCAAAAAAAACCACACACACACACACACACACACACACAAAACCCCCAGAAGACTCAAATCACTAGAATCAGAAATGAAAGAGAGAACATTACTACCAACCTGACAGAAATAAGAAAGATTACAAAAGAATACTGTGAACAAGTGTATGCCTATAAATTAGATAACTTAGATGAAATGAACAAATTTCTACGAAGACACAAATTACCAAAACTAACTCAAGAAGAAGTAGACAATCTGAATAGATCCATGACAAGAAATTGAATTTTTCATTAGAAATGAAAAAACAAGCCCTGACTGGTTTGGCTCAGTGGATGGAGCGTTGGCCTGCGGACTCAAGGGTCCCGGGTTCGATTCCGGTCAAGGGCATGTGCCTTGGTTGCGGGCACATCCCCAGTGGGGAGTGTGCAGGAGGCAGCTGATCGATGTTTCTCTCTCATCGATGTTTCTCACTCTCTATCCCTCTCCCTTCCTCTCTGTAAAAAATCAATAAAATATATTAAAAAACAAAAAAAGAAATGAAAAAACAAAATAAAAACCTACCTACACAAAAAAGCTCAGCCCCAAATGTACAAAACAAACATTTCAGTAAGAATTAATACCAATCTTCACAATCTTCAAAAAAAATAGAAGAGGAGGGGATACTTCCCAACTTATTCTATGAGGCTAGTATAACCCCAATACCAAAATCAGACAAAAACATTACAAGAAATGCAAACTGTAGATCAATGTGTCTTATGAATATGAATGCAAAGATCCTTAACGAAATACTAGCATAATCAAACCCAGCAATGTTAATAGAATTATACCCCCATGACCAAATGGGATTTATCCCAGGAATGTAAGGTTGGTTCAACATCTGAAAATAAACTAATGTAGTACACCATAAAAAATAAAGTACAAAAGCCCTAGCTGGTCTGGCTCAGTGGATAGAGGGTTGGCCTGTGGACCAAAGGATCCCAGGTTCGATTCCAGACAAGGGCACATACTTGGTTACAGGCTCCTCTCCGGCCTGGACACTGGTCGGGGCTCGTGCAGTATACAAGCAATCAATGCGTTTCTCTCACATGGATGTTTCTGTCTTTCCCTCTCTCTTCCACTCTCCCTAAAAAAAGTCAATGGAGTCCTAACTGGTTTGGCTCAGTAGATATAGTGTTATTCCATGGACTGAAAGATCCCAGGTTTGATTCCAGTGAAGGGCATGTACCGTGGTTGCGGGCGTGATCCCCAGTAGGGGGCATGCAGAAGGCAACTGATCAGTGTTTCTCTCTCATCAGTGTTTCTCTCTCATCAGTGTTTCTAACTCTCTATCCTTCTCCCTTCCTCTCTGTAAAAAATCAATAAAAATGTATTTTAAAAAAATCAATGGAAAAATATCCTCAGGTGAGGATTTAAAAAAAATAATAAATGAATGAATTAAATAAGTAAATAAATAAATAAAGTACAAAAAACACATGATTGTTTCAATAGATGCAGAAAAAGTATTTGACAAAATTCAATCCAATTTCTGTATTAAAACCCTAAGGATATCAGGGAATAGAATGGAACTTCCCCAAGTTGATAAAGGATGTCTGTGAAAAAATGACAGCTAGCATTATATTAATAGTGAAAGACTGGATACTTTCCCCATCTAAGATTAGGAGTAAAACAACTATATCCTTGTGTCTCCCTCCACTTCTGTTCAACATTATACTAGAGGCCCTAATAGCCAGGGAAGTTGGGCAAGAAAAAGAAATGAAAGGCATCCATATTGGAAAGGAAGAAGTAAAACTATCCCTATTTTTATTTATTTGTTTTTTATTGTTGACAATATTACAGATGTCCACTATTTCCCCCCCTTTATCCACCTCCACCCAGCCTCACCGCTATCCCCTCTGGCCATCACCACACTGTTGTCTGTGTTCATGGACTATACTGTATGTTCTTTTGCTAATCTCTTCACCTTCTTTCATCCAGTTCCTCCTCCCCCATCTTCTTGAGCTAGGCCTTCTCAATCCGTAAACCTGTCCTTACTCCAAAATCAGAGTTTTGGACTCTGATTGACTCTCTGAAATCAGTAAAAATATATTTAGAAAAAGAAAATTATTTAAAAAATAAAAACAAAGTAAATCCCTGGGGTGTGTGTGTGTGTGTGTGTGTATGTGTGTATATATATATATATGTGTGTGTGTATATATATGTATGAATATATATATATATATATATATATATGGCTAAGTGACCGACTGTACATCTGACCAACTGACCAGCTGGCTGGTACATATGACGTGCACTGGCAATCTGTATATACAAAAGCCTAAGCAATCGGCCAACTGGCCGGTAGCTATGATGCACACTGACCACCAGGGGGCAGGTGCTCAACACACAGGCATGGAAACATGGAACAGACTGATGAATCTCAAAGGGAAGGGAGAGGGGGGAGGGTGGGAAGAGAGTAACCAAAGATCTTATATGCATACTAGAGGCCTGGTGCAAGGAACATGCACCGGTGGGGTCCCTCGGCCTGGCCTGCAGGGATCAGGCGGAAACCAGCTCTCCAACATTCCCTGAGGGGTCCCGGATTGCGAGAGGGTGCAGGCCAGGCTGAGGGACCCCACTTCGTGCACTGGGCCTCTAGTTTAAAAATGTAGACTCATGCATGCGCGATACATCCTATTTAATAAAAGACAAAAAGGGTAATTGACCGTACCTTCGCTATGCTTCCCATGGGCTAATCAGGGCAATATGCAAATTAACCACCAACCAAGATGGCGGCCAGCAGCCACGCAGCTGAAGCGAGCAGGAGGCTTGCTTGCTCCAGTGATGGAGGAAGCCAAGGTTCCCCACCTGCCGCGGCCCGGCTCTGAGCTCTGAAAGCAACAGCTCTGAAAGCAACAAAATTTCAATTATAGAAGCTAAACAAACCCCAGATTCCTTCTTTCAGCAGGCCGTGGCCTTAGAGCTGGAGCGAGCAGGATGGCAACAATTTTCAATTATAGAAGGTAAATAAATCCCAGAATAAAAAAAA